GCATGACTGCAAGGTCGCTGCAATCAGGAAGTCACGCACTAGCCTCGCGGACTTGGACAGAAACCGCGTTCGGGCACGAACGCTGGCAAATCTGGCACGCGTGCCAGACCACTGGGGGCGGATAGAGGGATCCGCCGAACAATTTGTTTTACCGGAAGCCCGCAGCGTGAGGCTCCTTTTCGGGCCCGCCAGAGTGGACCCGAAAGCATTGCTTTGCACAACTCCCACGCAGCTGGGCAACTGTTGGGCTCGCCAGTAAAACTTTCGTGTCGTCTTGGGAGCAAGCCCGATCTTATATGATCTGATGCGGCTTGCTCATGTTCGGGTCCATACACCGTCTGGGACTTAGGGCTTGATAATGGGAACCGAAGCCCGAATCCGACCCGGAAGGCGGGGGGGCGGGCTCACATTGTACCTGGCCCCTGCGGCCAAACAGGGTAGGGCCATGGTCTGGCCCAAGCCCCCGCCGCCCATCCACCCTCGCTGCCCGAGCGGCTCCCGCCAGCCATCGTCGATCTCGCGCGGGCCTAGATGGCGACGATGGCAAAATTGGGGAATCCTGCAGAATGGCGCAGCACTGCGGACACGCGTCTGGGCCTCGGTGAGACCAGGTGGGCGAGAACATCTCCTCTGGAACTCGCACCATCCCTGGTGTGGGACTGGAGAGCGACTGCGCTGCCCTCAGCCCGGCAGAACCAGCTTCAGCGCCAGCGCCAGCCCCGGCCCCAGCAAGGGGAACCAGACTTCCGACGTCGTGACGTTCCAAGACGGGGGCCCCAGAGCTCTCGAGCCCATCCCTGGACCGTCTGTGTTCACCGCGGGCACTGCCTTTCGTTGTTCTAGGGCCTGAGCATCCCGCAAACGTCTCAATGTCCTCCCAACAACCGTAACATCCCAATTCCAATGCAATGTGGCAAGAGGGATCGGGGGCAGCGGACACCGCAGCAAGAACACATCCCGAGCAGTCAATCAGGGATGTTCTGTTGGGGTGTCGCTGAGCGGATAGCGGATAGCGGATAGCGAATAGCGTGTCGCTCCACTCCGCGGGGCGGAGGGCTTCGAAAGGCTCGAGACGTTGGCGCTCGAGGACCAGGACGTGGTTTGCGCGTCACGCCGAGGCGAGATGGGTCAGAACCGACGGCGCGACAAGCTAAGCCAAAATTCCCGACCAATGTGTGAAGCACATGTGCTGTTTCGGTACGACGTCGGACGCACGGAGCAGATGGGCGCCAAAACCTGCCCCAGATCCCGCCCCCCGGAGCTCCCAAGCCAGACCTGGGAACCCCACGTCGCGCCAGATCTGCCCGCGGCGGCCAGGATATGCCCCCATCTGCGGCACTGCGGGCAAAGCGGTCCTTCTCCGCCGAAGCCCGCGCTGCCCCCATCCCCGACTCCTCCTGTTCGAACGATCTCCGACTGCCCCCAGCCCTCTGGGCGGAGGTGGTGGGAGGGCTTTCCTCTTCCAGCCAACCTTCTTCCCCTTCGGGGAAGCGTTTATCTCCGCTCCCATATTGACTAGCCAGCCCAACGGGCCCGAGGAGTGCTAAAATCTCCCGTTGGAACTACAGAATGCTTCTATGGTGCGTGCGCGCGTGGCGGCTCCCCATGGGGGCCCCCAGGCGAGCGCACCGCGGCAGAGTCCCCGTAAGGTCCCAGCAGGGTACTGGCAAGGTCCCGGCAGGTCCCGGCAGGAGGAAAAGGAGGAGGAGGAGGAGGAGGAGGAGGATAAGGGAGGATGAAGAGAAGAAGGAGAAGGAGGTGGAGGAGGAGGAGGAGGAGGACCAGCGTAAACTCAAGATTCATCAACGAATAATGGATACACCCCCAGCAGGTTCCAGCAGGGTCCCGGCAGGGTCGGGCCCAGGCTGCTGGAGCTCTTGCCGTCGCTCGGACGTCCGCTTCCCGTGCATTTGTCGGTTTCGTCCTTGTTTTTTTGTTTGTTCGATGGTCCAGGATGGTCCTCCATGGTCCTCGCCGAGAAAAAACGCACACGTCCGAGCGATGCCGAGAACTTGTTTTTGTTGTTGTTTTTTGGAGCCCCTTGGGCCGTCTTGGGTCAGCAACAGCGAGCGCCTCCATCTTCAGTGACTGTATATCACCACAGGGATGCTGGAACTTCTGGGCGCGGCCTCGGGGGCCTCCGGAGCGCCCCAACGGGGCGCCAAATGGGTGGCAGGCCCCACGGCCTCAGGCCAAGAGCGTTCCAACATGGCCCACGTTGGTCCAACGACGGCCCGAGAAGCGCCCAAGACGCTCCAGGACAATTCCAAGAAGACTTCGAGAGGCCCCGAAAACACAAAAATCCTTGATGTTACGTTGGTTTACGGACGATTCTGGCGGTACCGCCTTTTCGAGCTGCCGACCGCCCTGGACGGCCCAAGAGGTCCCAAGATCGCTCCAAGACAACCCAAAAGGCCTCCAAGAGGACCCCCAAATGGCCCAACATGACCCTGAGACGACCAAAGAGGCCCCAAGGGCGAACACAGAGGGGGAACCCGAACGGACATGTCGACCTCTCGGCCCCAAGAAGCGCCCAGGAAGCCCCCAGAGGCCCCCAAGAGACCTCCAAGAGGCCCCAAGAGGCCCCCAAGAGGCCCCAAAAGAGGCCCCAAAAGAGGCCCCCAAGGTCCCCAACAGGTCCCCTGAAAGCCCCAGCCCCAAGAGGTCCCCAAGAAACTCCCCAGAGGCCCCCCCAAACCCGCAAAACTGTTCCCGGGAGGCCCCCGAGAGCCCTTCGAAACGACCCAAAAAAAACATCCATGAGGACTCTGACCCACAACCCAGGTACGTCTCGAAACTCAGATGGAATTTTCTTGAGCAATCGGGCGCCTTTTGGGGCAGTGGATCGGTTCCCTTCGACACGGTGGGAACCACATATCCACAAATCTCCTCGAGGACTTTCCTACCAGCCATATCGTGAACCCTGGGCACGAGCACACCAGGATGCAGCCACTGTAATGCGGGCTGGCGGAATGTGCGAAGCGATTCCGTTTTTATATAAATATATATATATATATATAATATATATATATATATATAATATATATATATATAAATAAAATAAAAAAAAAAAAAAAAAAAAAAAAAAAAAAAAAAAAAAAAAAAAAAAAAAAAAAAAAAAAAAAAAAAAAAAAAAAAAAACGCACCCGACCAGCTGCCAACCCATATCCATGAGGGCATCCATGCGCCCCCCCACACCATCCCTGTCAAAGGGCAAAACAAAATACACGGTGCCTTCAAATCTGGAGCATGCGCGGGCGCCCTGGGACCATTGCGCATAAGTTTTTGACAAAGAATCAGGGTGTCGGTTTGTTGTTTGTTGCGCGCAGGCCGACCACCCCTGTCAAACTACCCTGCGACGTACTCAACCCATCGGCACCAATGGATGATACAATGTGTGCCGACAGTAGTGTGGCAGCAACACTACAAGAGACGGCACACGGCGGATATCGATATCGTGCGAAGTGTGCGTGGCCGACTCGCAGAACAGAGGTACAAAAGGCCAGGACGCATTGTACTGGGAAGGAGAAGCAAGATGAAAACATCGGCGTGTAAGAACAATCGCCTCAGCAGAGGCAGCAAGATGATGGAGCGTGGGCAAAATAAGGCTACATTGGCGGGGACGCAACCAAACAATGAAGTGTCGCGCTGTTCCATGCCGAACAGTTCAACACCTGCGCGGCCAGCCCCCCCAGAGATGCCGAGCTCCTCAAAGTTTGCGTGGGGCCCCACGGTGCTGGCCGCCCCCAACAGCCATCAAAAGTGGTTACAGTCTCACAGGTCGCAGACCCCCCCCCCCCCCAAGGATGGCGAAGTCCCCTGGCCCCCCCAGCAGCGCTCGCACGTGGCGACTATCTCACATGCCGCAGCCCCCCAAGGATCCCGTTTGGACTTGCGTGGGACCCCACTGCGCTGGCGTTCCCAACAGCCCGCGCCCGTGAAAGTGGCGAGAAAATTACACTACGCAACCCCACAGGGATGGCGAAATCCCGTTTGGACCCGCGTGGGGCCCCACTGTGCTGCCCCCTTCCCCCCAGCAAGCCCCTCGAACGCGGCGACAGCTTCACACTTCGCAGCCCCCCAGGGATGGCGAGGTCCCGTTTGGGTCCGCGCGGGGCCCCACTGCGACGGCTTCCCCAGCAGCCCTCGAAAGAGGCGACAGCTTCACACTTCGCACCCCCCAGGGAAGGCGAGGTCCCGCTTGGATTTGCGTGAGACCCCACTGTGCTGGCGCCCCCAGCAACCCTCGTAAGCGGCGACAATGTCACACTTCGCGGCCCCCAGGGATGGCGAGGTCCCGTTTGGGTCCGCGCGGGGCCCCACTGCGACGCCCCCCCCCCCCCCCCCCCCCAGCAGTCCTCGAACGCGGCTGCAATTTCACTTCGCAGCCCCCAAGGATGGCGAGGTTCCGCTTGGACTTGCGCGGGGCCACACTGCGCTGGCCCCCCCAACACCCTCGAAAGTAGCGACCGCTTCACACATCGCAGCCTGGGGGGTGGCGAAGTCCCTTTTGAATCCGCGTGGGACCCCGCTGTGCTGCCACCCCCGGCCCCGTCCCCCCCCCCGCCCCCCCCCCCACCCCCCCCCCCCCCCCCCCCACCCCCCCCCCACCCCACCCCACCACCCCCCCAAAGCAGCCGTCGGGAATGTCGACAGTTTCACACCTCGCGGCCCCCAATGTGGATGCAGAGGACGAGTCGAGAGGAGAGCGGGGGGAGAGGAGAAGGGAGGTGAAGGTGAAGAGAAGGAGCAGGAGCGAGAGGAGAGGAGAAGGAGAAGAGAAGGAGAGAGCAGAGAGAGGAGAAGAGAGTAGGAGAAGGAGAAGGAGATAGGAGAAGGAGAAGGAGAAGGAGAAGGAGAAGGAGAAGGAGAAGGAGAAGGAGAAGGAGAAGGAGAAGGAGAAGGAGAAGGAGAAGGAGAAGGAGAAGGAGACGGAGAAGGAGAAGGAGAAGGAGAAGGAGAAGGAGAAGGAGAAGGAGAAGGAGAAGGAGAAGGAGAAGGAGAAGGCGAAGGCGAAGGAGAAGGAGAAGGAGAAGGAGAAGGAGAAGGAGAAGGAGAAGGAGAAGGAGAAGGAGAAGGAGAAGGAGAAGGAGAAGGAGAAGGAGAAGGAGAAGGAGAAGGAGAAGGAGAAGGAGAAGGAGAAGGAGAAGGAGAAGGAGAAGGAGCAGGAGCAGGAGCAGGAAAAGGAGAAGGAAAAGGAGAAGGAAAAGGAGAAGGAGAAGGAGGAGGAGGAGGAGAAGGAGCAGGAGCAGGAGCAGGAGAAGGAGAAGGAGAAGGAGAAGGAGAAGGAGAAGGAGAAGGAGAAGGAGAAGGAGAAGGAGAAGGAGAAGGAGAAGGAGAAGGAGAAGGAGAAGGAGAAGGAGAAGGAGAAGGAGAAGGAGAAGAGAAGGAGAAGGAGAAGGAGAAGGAGAAGTAGAAGGAGAAGGAGAAGGAGAAGGAGAAGGAGAAGGAGAAGGAGAAGGAGAAGGAGAAGGAGAAGGAGAAGGAGAAGGAGAAGGAGAAGGAGAAGGAGAAGGTGAAGGAGAAGGAGAAGGAGAAGGAGAAGGAGAAGGAGAAGGAGAAGGAGAAGGAGAAGAAGGAGAAGAAGCAGAAGGAGAAGGAGAAGGAGACGGACAAGGAAGACGGCGACCCCAGTGCTCTATTAGAAACGAGAACCTAACCAAGGAATGGCTGAGACAAACTACCCTGCAACGTACCCAACCCATCAGCACCAAGGGATGGTATAAGGTTTGCCGACACTATGGTACAGCCATAATGAAAGACGGTACACCATAGATATGAATAACCCTTTCTCTTTACCTTCCCACGCCAAGGGGTCTGTGGCTAGCGTCGCTAGCAACCACCAGCTGGAGAGGCATGCGCCAGGCCCCATCACCGCTCGAGACCTACCCCCAAGACCTCAGGAGACCTCCAGGCAGCCCCGAGGACACCCAAGGAATCTCTTTGCAGGATACCCCAAGGTCGAGGCCCGAGGAGAACCCGAAAGACCCCAGTCCAGGAAGCCCGACCCAGGAAACCCCGAGGGAACGCCGAGGCCTGGAGGGCTAGATCGGAGCGGACAGGCGGCTAGCCTCTAGACAGCGTGGGGGGTAAAATCGCCTCGCATCCACGAAGTAGGCCAGGCACTACTATAGGGTGGCGCGGGCGGGAAACACAAAGAGATCTACGAAGGGATGCGGCGTTTCTCGGCTTCCGAGTGTTATGTTACAATCGTCCCGATAACTGTTCATAACCCTTTCTCTTTACCTTCCCACGCCAAGGGGTCTGTGGCTAGCGTCGCTAGCAACCACCAGCTGGAGAGGCATGCGCCAGGCCCCTCACCGCTCGAGACCTACCCCCAAGACCTCAGGAGACCTCCAGGCAGCCCCGAGGACACCCAAGGAATCTCTTTGCAGGATACCCCAAGGTCGAGGCCCGAGGAGAACCCGAAAGACTCCAGTCCAGGAAGCTCGACCCAGGGAACCCCGAGGGCACGCCGAGGCCTGAGGAGGGCTAGATCGGAGCGGACAGGCGGCTAGCCTCTAGACAGCGTGGGGGTATTCCACGGGCTCGCAAAAATTGGCACGGGAGGGCTCACGTGTCGTGTCTCAAGATCTCTTTCACAGCGTATCACATATGTTCTGACTCTCTCCTGCAACAATCGACTGATAGAGACCACGCGCAAAGTGTTGGATCAACATGTGGTCATCAGGAGCAGGAGTGACCTGGACTATGTCTGCAACTGCTTGCTCAATGTAAATATTTGCGGTCGTCGCTGAACCCCATCTGCCTATCATGATCGTTGTCTCCATACTTTGCTGCGACATGAAGTCGTACGTGGCACCACCACGACGGCATGAGTACCATGAGAAGCGGAAATCCTCGAGGTGAAATAACGCCAGCAGCTTTTTCAGGCAACTGAGAAGCTGCGCTGGCGACCGCGTGCTGATCGTGTCTGGAGGCGCTGCGTGTGCATATCAGCGCTTGACCAGATCCACGGCGATGGGGCAGCCGACAACGACCATCTCGGTAGTGGCTTTGCGGTACCCTGTCTTGGTCTCAGGCAAGCGGACAATCACTCTGTCATTGATGATCGCAACCTGCTGCTTGGACAATGTGAACAACTCTGTTGTGCGCAAAAGACCTGCGAAACCCAATGCGAGGAGGGTGCTGATATCCACAGCGTCGCACTCGATGGCGAGGGCGGTCATTCCCAGAATGAGCTCTGGCGTGAACGGCAGGGCGCGAACAGGCGGTTCGCATCGCCTCCAAGCCTTGAGCAGACTCCATGATAACCCCAAGCTCTGTTTGACTGAGGGGAAGAAGAAGCCCATCGCAGCGACAGCATAGTTGGCAAAGCTAACGGGCTGGCCTTCGCTCCAGAGCATCTCTATGTACTCGGCGATGCCCTCGTCGGTGTCCAGCGGCCCTGAGGGCTTGAGGCCTATGGCATCCCAAACATCGAGGACGCGCTTGGCTGCTGCTCTGTAGCGGTGGAGCGTGGTGGAGGTGACTCGGAGCAGCTTCAACCGAGTACCACGCTTCGCCGAGTGTGCCTTCCTCGCCCTTTGAAGGAGTGTTTGCGGACCTTCTGGGGCTGTCGGAATGGCTTCCCTGGCCCCCTCGCCTTCCACTGGCGTCTGGAGGGAGCGTCGGCGGGGTTGTCCTCTGTCGTGATGTACCCGATGATGGGGTAGAGGCCTCCCGCCGCACAGAGGGCGGCCCACTTGCGCAGGAGCCATTGCAGCCTGGTGCTGGACGACCGCCCCTTCGTAGTGATCGCTGCCACTACCTGCGAGTCAAACAGGTGGACAAACCTGGCGCTGAGGTGCTTTGTGGAGCGAGTCCTCCAAAGCAGGGCTGCGACTCCCACCTGCAGCTCGCGGGCGTTGATGTGGATGTCAATGCTGCCTTGCCACCTCAGCGAGACCACGACTCTCCAGTTCCAGTTGAAGGGGCTGATGCTCGCCCGCGGCCACGCCTTGGGTCGATAATGCAGGCCCACGTCTAGGCGAATGTCGCCCCCACTGCGATCACTTAGTGCAAGGAACTCGCCTGTGAACTTTGAGGCCAGCTTCTTGTCGTACTCGGCTGTGCCCTTCGTGCAAGTGCCGACCTCACCCCAGGCCAGCGGGCACGCCCCCCGCGCGAACAGAGCTTCAGCAGGTAGCTCGCGAGCAAGGAGTCCTCGAGCCAGAAACAGCTGCTGGAGGAGCCAGGAGACCGAATACACTGAATAAGAGTTGCCCAAGAGAAAGCTCCTCGTGTCAGCAACTCCTTGGGCCTCAGGGTCCTTGTGGGCAACCCTTGTGTAATTCTTGTCGAATCCCAGCAGGGCCTCTCTCTCCTCGGGGTTAGGCGTGCGGAGGCCCCCATCCAGGTCGTTCCGAAGCATGGAGGTCTCTTCATACCAGCCCAAGTGATAGCGATAGCAGTCCTGCCCCCACCTCCTTTTTGCGGCGTCCGAAGCAGAGCGGAGGCCAGCAGGCATCGCAGGTCTACTTGAGGCAGGCCGCGGGCACAGAAGCGTCGGGACTGGAGCAGCGCCGCCTCCCCAGGTCCAGCCAGCAGCGACCCACTGGAGAGGGGCGACTGAGCCGCTGACTCGGCGCACGACCAGGAGTGACCCGCTGGGCTGGCGCCGCTCCTCGACTGCGAATTCCCCGCGAGTCTGCACAGGCCAACTGCACCAATAATAACGCGGCCGACGAGCAGGAACAAATATAGAGGAGCATAGCTTGACTGGCGGGACCCCAAGCTCCTTCGTGATAGCATCTCTCACTTGCGGACTCATCGAGGCAACGTTCTCAACAAAGGTGGCTAGCTTCTCCTTGAAGTGCTTACGAAGGAGACCGTGGACCCGCGGGATCTCATAGAAGAGTTTCGAGCTGGGGCTAGCCAGGCCTGCCCGCGACAAACTGACTGCGCTGAGGTCCTGACAAGGGCTGCCCGCTCCACAGACGCAGACGTCGCACAGGCTGTAGTAGGTGTCAGCCAGCTTAGCGACGTCCTTCTCGGAGATCGATCGGATATCACCCCAATCTGCGGTTCCAGGCCATCGGAGTCGCACGACTCGTCTAGCAGGCTTGTCAACCTCGCTGCACACCATGCCGATGATGTCGACTGGCAGCCTGGACATTGCCACAGCCAGCGCGGCGATGCCGTCGAAGCGGCTCACGATGAGCACCCTGGGCCGCGGCCGCCCACCTGGCAGCAACGGGGAGCTGCGTGCGGGCACCAGGTCGCCGCGGCCTGGCCCCAGCACCGGCCTGGCTCCCTGGCGGGCGGCCCTGAGCTGCTGGACTGCCAAGGGCGTGAGGCCAGTGGAAGCGCACACTCCACCTCCAGCCTCCGAGGCATCCGAGACGGTGGCGACTGGCGACAGCGCGGCCCTAAGGTCGGTACACGCGATGGGCAGGTACCCGATGCACACGAGCAGCTCCTGGCTCATGCCCATGTTGATGCGCCCTCCCCTCGTCCTGGTGGAGAACTCCCAGACCGAGCTGAGGCAGCTCAAGAGTGGCCGCCTGAACTCCAGGGACCGAACGGCGCGGCCCAGCAGCGTGAGCATGAGCAGCCATGGGCAGTAGTCGCGGCCCAGGGCGTACAGGATGTAGCGGACCAGCTCGATCACCTTGTCAGCAGGGGCCCTGATCGTACCAGCGCAGCCGTCGATGGACGCCCCCATCCTCTCGAGCTGCAGCTGCCGCGCATGGCTTTTCTCCTCCGCGTAGGCGACCTCTGCCTGGGTGTAGGCGCGCCGCATGGCGAGCTGCATCTCGCCCGGGGTGCCCACGACCCGATACGCCTCTGCCGCCTCCAGGACCTCGGGCGCATCAAAGTCATCGATGTAGACCTGCCACCACGCGTGAGGATGCTGCCTCGCTAGCGGCCAAGGCTGATCGCGCCTACACTCTGCTTCTGCAGGCAAACCAGCTCCTAGACGCGGTGCTCGCAGGGCCAGGCGGCGGTGCAGGTGTTGGGAGAGGGTGACTGCGAGGACCCAGCCCATGGGGATGACGCGGAACGCCACGTAGACCAGGTGGTCTCCTGGCAACCCAGCAGAGCTCGCTGGCACGGGCACCGAGACGGCCATTCGGCCATACCAGACTGGCGGCAGCTTCCAGACATAGAAGGCGACCTTCTGGTCGTCGCTGCTCCACACCATGACGCATCCTGCTGGCAAGTGGAGGCTGGTCCATGAAGTGGAGGCCGCCAAAGTCGACGTGTCCTCAACGATGTTGCGGAGGTAGGCGCTGGAGGGTATCATGTTGAAGATGAGGCGCGTGCATCTCGACTGGCCCTCGAGTGGCTTGCCCTTCTTCTCGCGAGCGAACAGGCCGTTGAAGACCTTCTGGCCCCGCGGCGCAAAGATGTCCGCCTCGTCGACCACGCCCAAGATGCCGAGGCCAATCAGATGCTCTGCGACCTCATACCAGTCCTCGAGCCTCTCGCAATTGACTCGGGCGCGAGGAGGGTCCAGCGGCCACTCCGCAGCAGGCAGCGTGGCAACCTCAGGGTCCATGAGCCACTCCAGGATGTGCTCGTCAACGAACTCCTCCGTCTGGAGCTGCGCAGCATGCTGTTTGTCGGGAAGGCCTGGTATAAGCTCCGCTAGCTTGATGGGCAAGGCCTCGCCCTGCTCCTCACCAGTGTAGTCGACCCTGAGCTTGCTGATCTTCTGGGACCAGTCGATGTCAGGCCGACGAGTTAGTGGGTCATCTAAGAAGCCGTCGACGTGGGAGATGATGGTCTTGCAGGCGGACCGCTGGGCAAGACGTAGCACTGGCGAGTGCCTCCACAGGCGAGGGTCACCTCGACCAACGTACTCTAAGTTGAGAGATAGCACCACTATGTATGACCAAACTTCTCTGGCGACTAAACGCCCCTCAATCCTGAACCTCTGACGCTTCCTTCTCGGTCCGTCCTGAGATGCGACCCAAGCTCGTGTGAGCGTAAGGTCGGGGAGGGCCATCGGCAACAGGTCACGCGCCCTTACCTGCGGCCCTCCAGTCGTGGGAAGGTGTGGACGAGACTCACGGCAAAACTTTCCAAGGCGGCCTGGGTGCTGCCACTGCAGGGTGACGATGGCGATGCCCAAGTCCAGTAAGTGCGGCGTGGCGGGTACAGCTCGAGTCACAGCTGCCCTCCACGCGGTCAAGTCAGTGTAGGCTGGCAAGTGTTCAGGCCAGCGAGGCTGCGCGTCGGTGTTCGGCGCTGCCGCGTGGCCTACTTCGCGGGTCGGTCCCGTCGCCCGCGAGCCTCCTGCATGAGCTTCCTGAGGCGCATGCCGTAGGCTCCTCGCGTCTCGCCCTGCCTCTTCGGGTGGGCGTCCTCGATGGCCTTCCAGGAGACCTCCTTCGGCGTCGCCTCCTTCGAAACGTCCTCGCGCAGCTGCACTGTCCGCTGCGGCCCTGGCGTAGGGCGGCGGGCTGCTGCTGCTGGTGCTGCTGGTAGAGGTAGATCCTTGACGAGGTCCGCAGGCGCCCGAGGCCCAGGCAGCCGGTGTGCCGCCTTGCCTCGGCTCCCGCCAGTGTGGCCTACAGGAGGGGAGTTGCTCCTCGGCGGCCCCCTCTCCCGGCCTGACCCCTAGCCCCGCTTGAGCTTGGACAGCAGCTCCTCGAGGCGCAACTCGCCCAGCTCGACTGCGCGCACGATCTCCTCATCCTCCGTCCTGAGCGCAAGCTGCTCGTTCGAGGGCGGGATGAGCTCCAGCCAGCGAGCACCTGACCAACTCTTGTCAATAGCGAAAAGCTGAAGCGCCTTGAACCGTTGACTCAGCACGTCCAAGGCGTAGGCCGTCTTGCCCGAAAGGATGGCATCCGCGGCCTCGCAGACTGTCCTCATCTCGCGGTAGACCTCAATCCCGATCGACTTGATGGGGTTCTGAGGGATGAAAACATTCAAAAAGTACTTCAGGAAGATAGGCGGGAACTCCTCCCCCGCCTCCTCACCAACCTGCGTGGTGACATACTCACTCATCTTGGCCAGTGCCTGCTCAGAGAGAAGCCCAGGGAACTTGGCGGCAATCTGGCGAAAGTGACCTCGACGAGTGGCGAGACCTCGCGGGACTGCCCCATCACCAATGCCGCTGGCGCCACTGAGAACCGACTGCAGAACGTCACCAGTGCCGCTCCTGTAGGCCGCTGCCTCAAGCAATAACTGGAGAAGAGGTCCCTCGCCTCCTGCCCCAGCGCTGCCGCTCGCGGCACTCGCAGCCGCCTCTGCTGGCACCTCGGGCGCGCGCCTATTGTCGGCCCTGTCCTGCACGACCTCCGCCAGCGGCCGCTTGGCTCCGCTGCGCGCAGGGGCTCCTCCAGCCACCGCCTCGCGCAGCTTCTCCGTCGGCTGCTTCCCCGCAGGGGCTGGCTGCAGCGCCCCGCGAAGCCGATCGAGCCGAGCGCAAAGGTCGCCAGCCTCGTGCGCAGGGGGCGCCATGGCTGACAGGCGGGCGCCTGCCTCCTCTAGCGGCGAAGCCTGCAGGGCAGCGGGCTGGCGGCTGCCGACGCGCGCTGGCGCAGCCCTGGGGCGCGAGCCCGAGGCAGGAGCAGCCGTGTCCTGAACCACGCAGCTGTCGAGCGGCATGCCGAACTCGTCCAGCTCGACCTCCGTCGACTTGCGAGCCGCCGCCCGCCTCTCCTGTAGGCTCGGGCCCGAGCTCCTGGGGCCAGCGGGTCCAAGAGTCCACCGCCTTGCACTCCAGGTAGAACTCCGACGCCTCCGCGGCGTCGACCTCCTCGAACTCCGAGACGTGAATCAGCGTCCCGCGGGAGGCGCTCGGCGTGGCGAGGCACATCTCCTCCGAGCAGAAGTGGTAGAGCGGCCGCCCTGCCCCGCCGCGCTCCACGGGATGAGCCATCCACCAGGCCCAGTAGCCGTCGCTGCAGCAGATCTGCTCGGCCCGTGCGAACTGGCCATCCTCGTCGGGAGGGTAGGCGCCTACCACCTGGATGAGGTACTCACCCTGCGGCCGCGACTCTGCGTCGAACGCCGTGCAGCGATACAGGCGGCCAACCTGCACGGGGAAGCGGAGGGCGGCGGCCTCGGGCTCCCCAAGCGAGAGGTGTGCAGGCACCTCCTCCTCACCAGCAGCGTCGACCATGCCAGAGGGCGCGAGACTTGGGAAAGTAGCGAACTGGTCACGCCTAAACCTCGAGGCAAGGTCCTGCTGAAGGAGGGGCGCCTGGACCTCACCCCTCTCTCAAGAGGGAAGAAACATTTGAACCACAAAGAGATCTACGAAGGGATGCGGCGTTTCTCGGCTTCCGAGTGTTATGTTACAATCGTCCCGATAACTGCTCATATCGTGCGAAGTGTGCGTGGCCGACTCGCAGAACAGGGGTACAAAAGGCCAGGACGCATTGTACCGGGAAAGACAAGCAAAAGGAAGACACTGGGACTGATAGAGAATCGCCTCGGCAGAAGCAGCCAGATGATGGAACGTGGACAAAATAAGGCTTCAGTGGCGGGGCGCAACCAAACAATGAAGTGTCGCGCTTTTCCATGCCGAAATGCTCAACACCTGCGCGGCCAGCCCCCCCCCCAAGGATGCCGAGGTCCTCGAGGTCTGCGTGGGGCCCCACCGTGCTGCCCCCCCCCCGCCCCCCATCCGCCCTCAACAGTAGTTACAGTTTCACATTTCGCAGCCCCCCACCCCCACGAATGGCGAGGACCCCTGGCACCCCCCAGCAGCCCTCGAACGTGGCGACAGTTTCACACTTCGCAGCCCCCCACGGATGGCGAGGTCCTGCTTGGATCTGCGTGTGGCCCTACCACTGTGCTGCCTCCCCCCAGCACCCCTCAAAAGTGGCGAACGTCTCATACTTCGCAGCCCCCCAGGGATGGCGAGGTCAAGTTTGGATCTGCCTGGGAGAAGGCACAAATCGTTGATCTTCCCGGAAAAAAATCTTGGGCCCATTTTGGCCTCCAGGGATGGGGACCCTAAGTGAGTACCCCCCCTACGTCTTTGGTCGAACCCCTCCAAGACGGCCCAAAGATGGCCCCAAAGGCTCCCAAGAGTGTCTCAAGAGGGTCCCAAGAGGCGCCCAGGAGGCCACATGAGGCCCCCAAGAGGTCGCCAAGAGGCTCCCAACAGATCCCCAAGAGGTCCCAAGAGGTCCTGACAGGCTCCCCCGAGGCACCTAAGACACTACAAGAGGCTCCTGGGACCGCCAGGAGCCCCCAAGACGCCTCAAGAGTACTCCAAGAAGCTCTCAAGATCCGAGGAGACTCCGAGTGGCATCCAAGAGGCCTCCGGCCTGTCTGTTTGCCCTCCTCCTCATCCTCCTCCTCATCCCCCTCCTCATCCTCCTCCTCCTCCTCCCCATCCTCCTCCTCCTCCTCCTCCTCCTCCTCATCCTCCTCCTCCTCCTCCTCCTCCTCCTCCTCCTCGTCCTCCTCCTCCTCCTCCTCATTATCCTCTTCCTCCTCCTCCTCCTTCGGGTCGAGTTCCCTTCGTGCGCTTTCGCTTGTCGACCGATTCGAGCGATTCCAGGCCCGTCCGATTCCGAGCTGTCTGCAATGGCGGAGACAATGTAGAACACGAAGGTTAAGAAGCACGACATCGGCCCCCCGTCGAAGGCGAGCGAAAGGTCCCAAGACATGAGCCCGCTTGAAACAGGATGGATGGCGACGAGGAGGAGGAGGAGCCGGCATAGAAGACAGAAACAATGGGATTGGAAGAGATAATGAAAAGGAGGATGAGCGACATGAAGGACATTGAGGGCATGATGAAAAATAATGATGCGGCTATCCAGGAGGCGAGGGAGGAGGAAAAAGAGGCAAAGCAGGAAGCTTTCGCGGCCATGCTCGCAGTAACCGAAGTTGAGAAGGTGACTCAGCTCAGGGGCACGGCGGTGACGAAGGACGACGTCAAGGAGATGATGAAGGATGAGGCCGTCCAGCAGATCACTCAGACGGTGCTCACCAAGGAGGACGTCCAGCAGATTATCCAGGACACTATTTCGGTTGGCTCCCCGAGATCTGCGAGCGGAACGCCAAGATCTACATTGTGGTCCCCGCCGACAGCAGTCATCGGCAACATCCAGGATTCCGACACTTTCGAGAACGCCGTGAAATGGATTACCAACCATTGTCGCTCTCATGGTCTTCCGCTGCCTCTGCAGGACAACGTGTACCACAAGGGCGCGTACAAGGGTATTGCCTTCATCCAATTTCCGGGTGAGGCCGACAGGGTAAACTTCTTAGATTCGGTGGAAGGGTATGCGAAATCCCAACCTTTTTGCCGGGGCCAAGCTGTTTGTCCTTAGGTGGACTTCCCGTTCTCCACGCGCATGCAGCACAGTGCTCTGTTCGCGCTGGGGCGGATACTTACCATGTGGGGCTACAACAAGGCATGCATCAAGGTGCACACTGGCACGTTCTCCCTAGAAGTGGCCGTCCCGACGATCATGAAGACGACGGTGGACAACTACACCCTCCAGCTGACTTGGGTAGACAAGGATTGGGGGGAGTGGATGGCGTTACCGACGTCTGAGGAGCTTGCCAACATCACGCAAAGCATCCAGGAGAAGCTCGTCAAAGTGAAGGCCCTAACATAAAAGAAGGGGAAGGCCAAAGGCGCGACCCCTGAATAGGGGCCAAGGCGGTGCATGGACAGAGCGCATGTTTCACCAATCGCTGCTGGTGGCAGCGTGGACGCGATCGATGGTGAAGGCGGTCGCCGCGATGGGGAAGGCTTGACATTGAAAAACACACGAGATTTGCGGCTGCACGCAGACGCACGGTGTGGACGCCATGTGCTCGCAGGAGACTCGCCGCCCGAACTCGGACCGCTGCGCTGCCCAGAGCGGGTTCCTGATAGTGCGGTCTTGCACGGCGGGCGTTTCGACAGAGCACGCTGGAACTGGTTCCACAGTGGCGCCCTGGGCGCGGACTCGCGTGCAAGGCTTTCGGCAGCTCGACAGCCGGATCGCTTCGATCAAGATCAAAACGGCAATGGTAGGCTGACGCTCTGCACCACGTACGCTCCCCATAACGAAAAGCCTACATACGAGAAGATGCACTTCTACGATACGCTGCACGAGCACGTCTGGCACATCAGTAGCTCTGGGCCTCTACTTGTGTTTGGAGATTGGAACGCCCGCCTTGGGCACAGACGCGCTGAGGAGGAAGATTATATAAGTGAGTTCAGTTTTGGCCGCGAGGCGCAAAAAGCGAATAGATTTACCTAATAGGGACCGGTTCATTGAGTTTTGCAATACCTTCCAGCTTTTCGTGGCGAACACAGTGTTGCAGCTGCATGACGCGATCAAGACGGCCTTTTACGAAGCAGGAGTGCAACGGGGTGGCCAAATCACGCCTGAGAGTTTCAACGCGTTGGACCTTCTAGCCATGCCAGCTGCTCGAGAACGCGATCTGGTGGACATCCGGAGCGACACATCAGCGATGTTGGCCACCCACCACTTCCCGGTCATCGCCACACTCTTGGACGAAGCTCCAGTGAACATGCAGGCCCAGCGACGTCCACGCAAAGATTGGGGAACGTTGCGGGAGCCCGCGATGAGGCAGACACTCGTGGAAGAAATCGGCGCGGGACTCAGAGTTCATAGCGAACGCACGTCTTTCTCAGAGCCGTGGCGGGGCGCTGTTCACGGAGTGTTGACGGAAGTGGAGCCCGTTGTCCCAGATGCCGCCAGTGCCCCCAACAAGCCTTGGATATCTGATCGGACCGTCGTTGATCGCAGAACGGCGCAAAGCGCGGCAGAACGAGGATTGGGAGCTGGAGCGCAAGCTGCGCAAGCAGACAAAGTTATCAGCCAAACGCGGTAAAGCTATGTAAGGCTGAGTGGCTCGAGCGCCTCACGGCGGATGGCGGCTGGGACAGCATCGAACACGTTGTCAAACGACGCCCATGCCCGCGAGGCCAGTTACGGGACAGTGCGGGCCGCAGCATCTCCACTGACGAGCGCGCCGACACGTTTACGGAGCACCCGAGCACGAGTCGATGGTATGTCCGACCTCTTGCTCTGATCCCTGGAGACGCTGATGTTTTACACCCTCGTTTGAACGTCGACATTGAGATGTTCACGGAGGCGGAGGTCCGCGCAGTTCTGATGAAGATGAAATGCGGGAGAGCGTGCAAACCAGACGACAGAGGTGTTCAAGGCTATGGCGCAAGAGCCGGGCCAGTTGCAATGATTGTTGAACGTGTGCAACGAAGCTTGGGGACGCAAGGCCGTCCGACGATTGGGCTGTCTCGCAGGTGTGCTTGCTGCACAAGAAAGGCGACCCAGCTTGTTGTGATAACTACCGCCCGCTTTCGGTGCAGCGCATTGCAGCGAAGGTCTTTTCGGCCATGCTCAAAAGCAGGTTGCTGGCAGCTGGCATTAGCGAACGACTAGGGCGCTCACAAAGTGGTTTTCGAATTGGATGTAGTACTGAACAGGCGATCTGCATCGCACGCTGGCGGGTGGAAGTTGCCAGAGCGAGGAAATTCGGGAGAGTGATGCTGGTGGCCATGGACTGGGAAAATGCTTTCGACAGCAGCCGGACGGAAAGTATGATAGATGCGCTCCGGCGTCTTGGCTTACCACCAGAACTCCAGCAAATGGTGGAATCGATGAAAACAAGGTTGTTCCCTACCTAGGCTCTGCCTAGAGGGTTCTTACTCTCTTAGCTTAAAGGGGCCGGGCAGTGGAACTCGCCCCGGGCGGTTCCCTCAGTCCCCGCCCCGCGGTTCCCCCAGTTGCGCCCCCTGGGTTCACCCAGCTTAGCTTAGCTTCAGCTTAGCTTTAGCTTAGCTTGAGCTTAGCTTTAGCTTAGTTTTAGCTTAGCTGTAGCTTAGCTTTAGCTTAGCTTTAGCTTAGCTTCAGCTTAGCTTTAACTTAGCTTTAGCTTAGCTTCAGCTTAGCTTCAGCTTAGCTTTAGCTTAGCTTTGCTTAGCTCTAGCTTAGCTTCAGCTTAGCTTCAGCTTAGCTCTAGCTTAGCTTTAGCTTAGCTCTAGCTTAGCTTCAGCTTATCTTTAGCTTAGCTTTAGCTTAGCTCTAGCTTAGCGTTAGCTTAGCTTCAGCTTAGCTCTAGCTTAGCTTTAGCTTAGCTTTAGCTTAGCTTTGGCTTAGCTTTAGCTTAGCTTTAGCTTAG